TTCCCCTTCCCTGATTCCCCAGTGCTGTTCCCATCCCCCAATTCCCCAATAAAAATCTTAAAAATAAATAAATAAATAAAATTAGGTTAATGATGATATATATATATATTTTTTTCCTTTTCTTTTAGTTGAGCCACCCTGCCACCTGTTGGCAGCTGTTGGCAGCTCAGCTCAGCTCAGGCCGGGAATCGAACTGGCAACCCTGTTGCTCAGAGCTCACATTCTTGAGTGAGCTCTTAACCAACTGAGCCACTCGACTGGCCCTGGTTTATATATTTCATTGAATTTTTTTTTCCCAAAGAGCCATATTTTGCCATATTTCTTAGTTCTGCTACTTATATGTTTCCTAATTCATTTCTGCTTTAATCTTTAATAATTCTTTCCTTATTCTTTCTGTTTATTTTATGGTTCCTTTTCTAATGTTTTTACTCTGGTGCTTTATGTATTTTTATCTATTCCGTTGTCATTGTTACATGTATTGGAAGCCATAAATATTTTTCTGATTATTGCTGCAGCTGTATTCTATAGCTTCAGGTTCATGGTATTTTGACATTGGTTATTTTCTAGAAATCCTACAAATTCAGTTTGTATTTCCCTTTTGACTTGAGAATTGTCCATGAGATTTGTTTTTGTTTTTTTTAAATTTTCAGACTTCTAAATTAATTTCTAGTCATTCTGCTTTCTGATCATAAATGTCTATATTTTTTATATTTTGAGATGTTGAGGTTTTCAGTTTTCATGAATGTTCTATCACTCTTGAAAGTACGTTATCTGTTGTTAGCATAGAGAGTTTGATATATTATAGTACCTTACTGATTATTTTATTTAGGTCTTCTGAATTTGTATTTATGTTTCATCTACTTAATGTTTCTTGGGCTCAGTGAGCTGAATTAAAATCTCTTATTAGTGGTTCCAATCTATTTATCCTAGTATCTCTGCAATTTCTCCTTCCTGAAAATTGCTGCAGTGTTATTTGGTGCCTCGTGAATTATACCATTTAGCATTATAAATGGCCCTTCTTTGGCTCATTTGGCTCATTTAGTGATGTTTGGATTGAATTTCATTGTCTGATATTAATATTATGGCTCTAGCTTTGCTTTTGTTTGTATTTGTCTTTATACCTTTGCTTGTTCTTTTATTTTAACCATTCTAAACCACTTTGTTTGATGTCTGTCTCTTGAATGCAGGATACACCTGGGTTTTGCTTGTGATCTAAACTAAAAATCTTTGTTTTTTAAGATCAGTGAGATAAGCCTATTTATATTTATTGATACGGCAGATGTCTGGTTTTCTTTGTATCATATTGTGTGTGTATGTGCATGTATGTCTTTGTGCATGTGGGAGAGCTATATTCTTTTTTTTTCCTTTTTAAAGATTTTTATTGGGAAATTGGGGGAGGGAAACAGCATTGGGGAGTCGGGGAAGGGGAACAGACAAGTTGCTGCCCTTTTTGTTCTTCAGTCTAGTTGTGGAGGACGTTGCTTCACTGGCCCATGTTGGTATTATCATTGCGCTCTTCTCGGGTGAGGGAGATGGGTTACCGGCCTCTGGACGGCCGCTCACGACGGCTCTTGGCAGCTCACACTGGCTGCCGGCTGCCAGCCACGCACAGTAGCTCATGGAAGCCCACTGCCAGCCTCACTGCAGCCTACGCTGTCACCGTGACTCACAGCAGCCCAGCTCCAGGTTGAGCTGTTGTTCACCATCTTAACTGTAGCGCCACTGGCCTTCATGTGGGATCCGAACTGGGGCCCTGCTGCTCTGAGCTGGTGTCCCAAGCCAGCTCTTAACCAACGAGCCACTCTGCCAGCCCTGTTTTGTATTTTTATTCTAATGCCTTTGGAGGCTCTTAGTCACGTGGTGTTTATGACAGTTGCTATTGCCTACCCGTACGATGACATGAAAACCTGCAGAAGAGGTTTCAGCATCTTGGAAGAAAATTCTGGACACTAGAGTGAAGCACTGTTTTAAGAAATGCTGCATCACCCACAGTGGATGGTACAGATCAGACTATGGAAAACGCGGGCCTCGGTGACATTGAATTGAAGTCATTCAGAAGAATTGGGTTTTTAAAGGTGACAAAGTTTCAGGAACACCTTACCCGATTTATTTCACTTATTTTTCTTCTTACATGTGCACAGGAGTGATAGGTGATTTAGAAGTCTGACTAAAGAATTCTTTCAGAATAAAAATGTTATACAATAAGAAAGCAATGGGACATTGTTTAATCAGCAGCATTTAAAAAAAAATTTTTAGTGGTACCTAACAATTCATCTTATTAGATTCAACAAAATAGGGTATTATTATCTTTCTTATTAGTCACCTTTGTACTATAAATATGCTTAAACTTTTACTATTTGATGTTTTAGCTTTTACCCCGAGCAATTGAAGATGAGGCAGCGACCAAGCGCGTTCCACTTCACACCTTCTTTCCCCCTTCCCTACCAACTTTTTGTTATCTGTATTATTTTCTACATTGTCTGACTATATGACATGCCACTCCATTCTGTCATCCTTATTGCTATCTTTTAAATTTTTTATATTTATTGGGGTAGCCTTGATTAGTGAAATTATATAGGTTTCAAGTGTACATTTCTGTAATACATCATCTATATATTGCATCGTGTGTTCACCACCCAAATTCAGTTCTCCCTCTGTCTCCTTTATCCCTCTTCTACCACCCCTCCCCCCCACCCTCTGGTAACCACTAAACTGTTTTCAGTATCTGTGAGTTTTTGTCTGTCTTGTTCATTTGTTGCTTTCGGTTTATATGCCACATATGTGTGAAGTCATATGGTTCTCAACTTATTTCACTTAGCGTGATAATCTCAAGATCCATCCATATTGTCGCGAATGGCAGTATTTCATCTTTTTTATGGCCAAGCCTTTTTTATTTTTTAATCTGCAGTTTAATATATAGTCCTCTTACTGAACTTACTCAACCATTTGATTGGTTGAAGCTTATTCCTCAGTTTTCCTTATAGGAACAATATTGCCTGTGTCCTTATACTTCAAAACAACTGGTGTATAACCTTTATATTTAAAGAACAGCTCAGCTGCAGATTAGCCTTTGCCTCACACTTTCCTTCCTTGGCGATCGTGTGGGTATACTCCACTATCTTCTGTCCTTGAATGTTGCTGCTGAGATGTCTGATGCCAGCCCGATTCTCTTCCTTCATAGATGGCTTGATTTTTTGTATACGCGTAGTTGCCCCGAGATTTATTTTTGTATTGCTAAAGTCCCGTAGTTTTACTAAACTATGTCTTGGGATTTATCATTCTGGGTTGCTGTTCTCTAATTCACGAAATCAAGTCTGCCCCATTTCAGAAAAGTTTTCCTGAGTTGTGATTTTAAATATTCTGTTCAATTGTTTTAGTTTTCATCTTTCGAAACTCTAGTTATACGCTTGTTGGATCTCCTTTACATATCTTCTCTATCTGTTTTTCTTCTTCTGGAATTCTTTGATCTCGTTGACCATTTCTTTTTTTATTTCATTTATTTTTCTCAATTTAATCTCTATTATCTCTTACTATACTTTGTATGGAGTCTATTCTCCCTTGTGTTTCTTGTAGTGTGGTCTTCGCTTCTGAAATGTTTTTGTCTTTTTCTTTTAGTTCTTTCCTGAGATCTGTCAGTTCTCACTGGTCCTCATGTCTTCCATCACTTTGTCTACCCCAGGGGTTGGCAAACTGCAGCTCGCAAGCCATATGCAGCTCTTTGGGTACATTTCGTCTCAAAAGTTTGTCAACCCCTGGAAGAGCCAATCCTGTCCCTCACAACCATTTAAAAATTATTCGAAAGCCATAAATATATTTTTACAAATAAGGAAAATTTAAAGTAATATTATAAATGAAACTATGATAGTTTTATTTTCATTTTCAATTTTATTTCAGAGCCACATGTATGTACCCAAAGAACCGCATGTGGCTCACGAGCCGCAGTTTGCCGACTCCTGGCGGCTCTTCCGTCTCAAAAGTTTGCCGACCCCTGGTCTATCCCATTTCTTCTCTAGCTCTCTCTCTTCCTTCAAGCTTGAATTTTTCAAGTCTTTTTTCTTCATTCATTCTATAATTTGGATTAGAATTTTTATTTGTTTTATGGTAATATCTCTATAGTGAATTTTCTATGTACATAAGGGAACATTAGTGCTTCTTTTTTTGTTGTTGTTTTTTCTCATTCTTGTAGCCTCTTTGTATGAGTGCTGTGTTTATTTCTTTCACAATTTTTTTTTGTCTGTATATGAATTGGTTGAATTTTCCTGGACCAGCCATTAACAAGAGGTTTCAGTGGAAACTGGGAGAGAGGCCAGCATGGTTCTCTTGTTTTCTCTGCTGAAAGGCTCCCTCCTCTGTTTTTATGGCAATGGATTGTGCCTTTAAAATATGGCCCTTTTCTGGGTCCACTCCTCTTTTGCCTCTCAGAACTAACCTGGTACCAGAGGCAACCGGCCTCCAGCCATGAGCCCCCCTGGTTCATTCAGATCTTCCACTGCTGGCCTCCCTTCTGCACACGGTTCTCCCCCACCTCACTGCTGCACCTGCTGCCTCAGGTGCTTTGGGCCACACTTGCCTGTGATTTGGAGTTTATGGGTTTTTCCTCACTCCTGGTTTTCCTAAAGCTATAGCTTGTGGTTTCTTTATTTCTTTCCCCTGTTGCTCTTTGTGACATCAGCAGAAGAGGGAAGATTCCAAACCAAGAATCTGCCTTATTCCTTATTGCTGTCTTATTCCTATTGGAAAAAGAAGTCGCCCCTCCTTAATTTTTCTGTTTGTAATATTCCCCCGGAAGGCAAGTTGCTGCCTGCTCGGTTCCTGGCTTTGGAACACCTTAGAGGAACATTTTTGTAACCTCTGCTCTGAAAACAGCCTTTTTTTTTTTTTTTAAAAGTCATCATCGCCTTCTAATAACTGACACTTTTACTTCTTGAGTAGAAATAATAGATTCATTTGTGCCCTGAAAGGTTGGTGAGGGGAGGACAGCAGACCCTTCAAGCAGGATTCGGAAGCTCTCAGGAGGGACCTGGGTTAGAATTCCATGTTCCATGCCATTTCCTGGCCTGGCAGTCTTCCCCAGGCACCTCAAGCTTCTTCGAGCCTCAGGTACCTGCTCGTATGTTAACTTTTCAAGGAGGTTGCTCAGCATATGCCCTGTGTCCCCATGGTTAGAATATGTGGTTAGTCTCCTCTCCATTGTGAAAAAGGAACCTGAGGTCCAGGGACTTTCCCGAGGTCACACAGCAAGTCAGGAACAGGAGAGGGTAGACCCGGAAGCACACCCCAGCCCCAGTGCTACTAGCTGTGGCCCCTTGGACAAGTCACTTTTTGGAAGGTTAAACAAGGGAGCAGGGGCTGGCATTGACTCGAATCATACCTGCCCCCCTTGGTGGTGGTCAGACTGAACTAAGATGACACACTGACCCCACCTGCTGCCAGGCCAGGCCCTTCTGACTATCAGATGGTTTCTTACTGAGCAGAAGAATGCAGTGGACCCTGCTACCTCCTCTGTCCCCCACTGTGTCCCCAGTCCCAAATACCGCAAGACAAAATGAATCCAGGTATCCCCTTCCTGTCAGAGGCCAGTCGGGATGAGGCATTCATTTCCCTGGCAGGGAGAGCACCTTCCTTAGGGTGGGGGAAGAAGGAGTCACACCTGTTCCCCAGGGGGAATTGTCCTTGACCTGAACCGGTCCCCTGATGCCAGTGCTCCCGACGTGGGACCTGCAGAGCTGATGCTGAAGGCTAGACCATCAGGGGTCTGGTCAGGCCCGTGGCCCTCTGTCTCCACCAGCTGTGCACTTCTCATTTTCACTTCCTGCCTGAGAGGGGACCTGGGGCGTCCTGATGCTGGGGAGCCACAGAAGGGCTTAGAATAGGGACGTGACCACAATTAATGTGCTAACTAGAAATGCCTCCCCGGTGCAGGGCTGGATGTAGGAGCCCCGGAGGCGGGAGGAAGCAGCGGCAATGATGTGCCAGGCTTTTCTGACCAGGACCAGGACGTGGGCCCCAGCCGCGAGGCCCATCCAGGGGGCCAGGAGCATGCTTTGGGCCTGAGGTCACCCGGGTATTGGGCTAGGGCCGACTTGGCCCCGTGCAGAGTTTCTATTCCTGAGTCTTGGGCTCCAGCACCAAATATGGTACTGCTTGCATCTGGCACCCTCAACCACGGTGGCAGGCGTGGCTTCGGTGGCACAAACCGCCTCCCTACCAGGCCCAGAGCCCTCCCCACACCACAGTGGAGCAAGATCACCTCAGTGCCACGGGGTCCCCGAGCAGCTGGGGCCTCGCTCCTTTCAACTGTCTGTCCTCTCCTCAGTGTGGTTCACATTGGGTTAAAAATACTCATGACCAGAATAGCCTCTCTCCCTGCAGGAGAAAACAAGGGTGGGGCAGGTGTGTGTGTGTGTGTGTGTGTGTGTGTGTGTGGGTTGGGGGGGGCGGGGGGCCGGACATGTCCTGTGGTTTACACCATTCAGGATCCAGTTGCGGGTGGGGGGTCCCAGGCAGCTCGCCTGACCTCTGACCCCCAGTTTCCTCATTCCTGTGCTCACTGGTTCATTTGGTCACTCATTGATTTGCTGACTCACTCACTCACTCATTAATTCACTCACTGATCATTCATTGATTCGATCACTCATTGATCCTTTATTCACTCACTTGCTCCTCACTCACTCACTCACCTACAGTAGTATATTTACTACCTACTAAGAGCCAGGCACTATTCTAGATGCTGAACAAAACATACAAAACACAGAAATATACCTGTCCCCATGGGCTTATGTTCCAAACAAGTAGCACAAACAAGTATAAACATGTACAGTATGTTAGAATAAGTACAGGGAGAATAGACTAAAGCAAGAAACTATAAAGTGATGGGGAAGTTGAAATTTTTGGGGGGCTATGGAGGGCCCCATGGGAAGATGATTTTTGAATGAAGGCGGGAGCGAGGTGAGTGAATGAGCAATGTGAACATCTGCGGGAACAGTGTTCCAAGCAGAGGGAACAGCAGGTGCAAAGGCCCTGAAATGGCCGCATTGAGGGATAGGTTTGAGAAAACAAGGCGGCCAGGTGTGGCTGGGCAGATCAGATGATGGGGAGAGTAGTGGGGCATGAAGTCAGGTTGGGGAAACACAGGACCTGGTGGACCTCCCACATTACTCAGGGCCTGAGCAGAGGAATGACGTGGCCTGACTTGTGTTTTCAATGTGTCCTGGCTGCCGAGTGAATGAGTCAGTGAGTGAGTGAATGAATGACAGTAAGTGAATTTCCTGTTTGCCTACTATGTGCCAGGCACTGAGCTGAGCACTGGAGAGAGAAAGTGTGCAGGTCCCTCATGGTGCTTATGGAGGTCCATCTGGCCAACTCCCTTCCATCAAGTGTCACCTCCCCTGGGAAGCCACCTTCTCCTAATTCTGCGGGCCTCTTTGTTCCATTTCAGCTGTCATCCAGTATATTGTCCTTGTCTCTTTTCAGATGGTCTCCCCACAAGCTAAGCACCCCCTCCAGGGCAGGGTTGCACCTAATTCTTCCCTCGGCTGAGTGAGAGAGTGAACTAATCAATGAACAAATGAGCCGCAGGCCTCCGAGAGCCTGAGACCCACCTCACTCTGTCTTTTATCCTTTTTTGTAGATGGATTTGCAGGCGCGGGGAGCGTGTGGAAGGGCCGTGTTCGTGTTGGCAGAGAAGGTTGGCTGCTGAGCCAGGGCGTGTCTGCAGGAGGCCTGCCAGGCTGCCCGGATCCCCACCTCGCCACCATGGGCCGCCCAGGCTGGTCAGTTCCAGCCCTTGATGGCGTCACGGTTGCCCGTGCATGTCCCTGGGGAAAGGCTGGGCCCAATTACTGAAGTCCCAGGCTCCTGGCACCACTCTCCAGCCATGAGACCCATGAGTCCTGGGGAGGGGTTTTCCCCAGCTCCCCGTGGCCCCCAGGCTGTGCCCAGTCCCTCCACCCCTTTCTGCCCAAGTTTCCTGGCCTCCATAGTAGAAACGATGCAACTACCCTGCTGGGGTTACTGTGGGCCGGAGTGGGTGTGAAGTTGGCACTGCGCTTAGAAGGCACAGAGTAGATGGTGGCCGGGACTCTGTTAATAGTGAGTAGAGTCCAGGCCAGGGTGCAATGAGTCGTCCAAGCATCAGGCAGATTTGCACATTGGCTGTGCCATCTCTCGCCCAGGCAGGATGGTGCAGTTTTGCAAGCACAGACCCTGGAGCCAGGTGGCCCGAGTTCAAACTCCTGCCCTGCCGCTTGCCGGCCGTGGAACTCTGCATGAGTTACAGACGTCTCTGTTTCCTCGCCTGAAAATGGGGGTGATGACTGCCACCCCATTGGGTGGCTGTGAGGGTTTAATAAGTTAGTTTGTGTGAAATGCTGAGAAGGTGGTCTAGCATGTGCATGGTAGACAGTCAGTATTTATTGAATGAATGAATGAATGAATACTACCCTTTAGTGGGTTTCAGCATTCCTATCTTGCAGGTAGGAACATCAAGGCTCAGAGAACTGAGTGACCTGCCCCCGGTCGTACAGCTGGTTCAGGCCGACTTGGGGTCCCACGGGTCCCAGGCATTCCCACAGTCCCACCCTTGGGGATGAGGCCGAAGCCTATCTTGTTCCTCCCAGCCACCTGCAGGGCACCTAGGAATCTTCCTGGCTGCTGGCCAGGTGGGCAACACCAGGAGAGAGTGAGGGTCCAAGGACAGTACTTGCCAAGGTCGTGGAATACTGCGTGGCCTCCGTGTCCCTTTTCCTCCAGACCTGTGTCTAGGAGAAGCACAGCCCCGGGCAGAGGCTGGGGAAGCCAGGTGCCCAGGAGATCCTGGCATGTCGAGACCAAGGGCTTCAGGACCTGGCAAGCACCCCCACATGCTTAGCGCTCACCCGTCCTGCCTGTGAGTGAGCATGCACACCGGCTCCCCAGCTCATCAGAGCCCCGCGACTCCTGCTGAAAGTCCCCAAGGCTGCTCAACAGACTGCCCTCTTCCATCAGCTCCAGGATTAATTTACGGAACGGAGCTGAGGGGTACTCGTGCTGGGTCTCAAATCACGGGCTGCCTACCTGGTATGCCCAGGTGTGTAGGCCTGGCCAGGTATCACTTCTGATAACCCCTACATGTGCCAGATCCTGCCCAGGGCCCCTGGTGGCCGCATGTTGTAGGTGACACTGGCCTTGTCCTTGGGGAGTTCACAGGTGTGTCACAGAGCATGAAAGGGACCTGCCCAGACCTCAGTCCATGGCCAACTACTTCCTCCAGGTGAGGAAGGAGATGGGGCTGTGAGCTCCAGAAGCCAGTGTCGGCTGGCATTGGCTGTGGCTGCTGTTTGTAGGGAGTGTTTTTCTTGGGTCGGGATGCCAGCAGCCTGCCTGAATGTAGTGCTATCTTTTGCAGACCAGCCGGTTCCTGCTGGAAGCTCCTGGTATCATCCAGAGAGACCATGTCCAGGCCCCCTGACTGCCTGCTGTGGCTGCTCCGGGGCGTCCTGAGGCAGCGGGGCTGCACCCTGTTCATCATCAGCTTCAAGTTCATGTTTTTGGTCTCCATCATGATCTACTGGCACATTGTTGGGGAGCCCAGGAGCCAAGGACAATTCTCTAACCTGCCTGTAGACGTTCCATGCCCCCGCTTGACGCCCCCGCCACTGCCCTCCAGCAGCCCCCCTCCAGGCAACATCTTCTTCCTGGAGACTTCAGACCGGACCAACCCCAACTTTCTGTTCATGTGCTCAGTGGAGTCGGCCGCCAGGGCCCACCCCGAGTCCCGGGTGATGGTTCTGATGAAGGGGCTCCCTGGCGGCAATGCCTCGTTGCCCCGGCACCTGGGCCTCTCGCTTTTGGGCTGCTTCCCGAACGTCCAGATGCTCCCACTGGACCTAGAGGAGCTGTTCCGGGACACGCCCCTGGCGGCCTGGTACGTGGCTGTGCAGCGGCAGTGGGAGCCCTACCTGCTGCCCGTGCTCTCGGACGCCTCCCGGCTGGCGCTCATGTGGAAGTTCGGTGGCATCTACCTGGACACAGACTTCATCGTCCTCAAGAACCTGAGGAACCTAACCAACACGCTGGGCATCCAGTCCCGCTACGTCCTCAACGGTGCCTTCTTGGCCTTCGAGCGCCACCATGAGTTCATGGCGCTGTGCATGCGTGACTTCGTGGCCCACTACAACAGCTGGATCTGGGGCCACCAGGGCCCGCAGCTGCTCACGCGAGTCTTCAAGAAGTGGTGCTCTATCCGCAGCCTGGGCGACAGCCGTGCCTGCCGTGGCGTCACCGTCCTGCCCTGTGAGGCCTTCTATCCCATCCCCTGGCAGAGCTGGAAGAAGTACTTCGAGGAGGTCAGCCCCGAGGAGCTGTCCCAGCTGCTGAACGCCACCTATGCCGTCCACGTGTGGAACAAGAAAAGCCAGGGCATGCGCTTCAAGGCCACGTCCAGAGTGCTGCTGGCCCAGCTCCACGCCCGCTACTGCCCCACGACACACGAGATCATGAAGATGTACTTGTGAGGGGCCCGTCGGGCCACCTCCCCACACCCCGCATCCTGATGGAGAAGGGCTCCCAGCAGTCCTTCCTGGGGAGGCGAGATGGCGGGGGGGGCCTTGGTGAGGGGGTTTCTGAGCTGCTACAGCCCAGGATTTGATGTAGGGTGGGTGAGGACAGGGAACTGGCAGGCAGAGGTGTTGGAGGGTGTGCTGCAGGCCCTGAGGTCCACTCCCTTCAAGCCAGGGTGAGGCTGGAGGGACACCCCTTGGGCCAGTGCACTGTCTCAGGGTAGAGGCAGCGAGTGGTAGGGAAAGAGCCTGCAGCCAAAATCAGCTGGCGTGAGCTGGGCGAGCCTTCTGGGTCTGCTGGGCAACATGTGGGAGCTGTGAACATCGAAGCATCACAGGGAAACCAGGCTGTTTGGGGCCAAAGTGCTCGTGATGGAAGCATCCAGGATCTCCAGGGAAGGGAAGAGGAAGGCGGGCAGAGTCTCTAGATGACAGCGGAGGAGGCTGCCAGTGAGAAAGCTGCTTGCAAACCCTGCCTCGTGATCCCGGGAATGGCGGCTTTGCTCTTTTCTGGTTGTGGTTTCGTTTTCAGAGGGGCTGAGGCTGGCAGAGCTGGCCTGGGGAGCATTTTGGGGGAGGCCCTGTCCGCCCACCCCATCCTTCTTTCCAGAGATGTTGCAAGGGTGACACGTGCCAGCTGCGCACTCTAGGGGCCTGGGGGCGTGGAGTTCTTTTGGCTTGGGGTAAAGCATTTTAAAGAAAACACCCACCCTGACCGAAATGAGCATAGGGAAATAATAAATATAATGAAAGTGACTCACTGACATCTAGTGCTTTGTGCTGATAAAACACATTCGCTTGCACAGCCCTTTTCAGCCCCATTCTGCAGGTGGGGAAGGGGGACGCGGGAGAAGCTGGAGGTTGTGGTACTTGCCTGAGGTCATGCAGCCTGCCTAGATCAGAAGGGCGGCGCCAAAGAAAAATCTCTCCAAGGGAAGGGCGACAACCAGCTGCTTGGTGTTGAGGAAGCTGCCTCAGAGCTGCTCATGACGGCCAGGCTTCAGAAGCCCTCCCCGGCAGAACTGGGGGTGCTGCCAGGGGCTCGGCAGGCTGCTCTCTGCTGGCTGAGAGGGGAGGTGTGTAGAGGCCTCTGGATTTTGCTTCCAGATGGTCTTGGGCAGCCTGGTAAGGAGGTGAGCTCCCTGGCTCTAGAGGTATTCGAGAGCCGGTAATGTTTTTTGATGAAAACAATGGATTATGTCGGTTGTTTCTCCAACCACAATAGCATTGCACCTATCTTAAAGTTATTTTTAGAGGGAGCAGGTTTTACTTGAATAATACAAATAATATATAATTATGTATACTTAAGCAAATGAGATGACCTCTTAAGGTTAAGCATTGTTTAATTAGTCATTTGGCCGTTGTATAGTGAGTGCCTACTACGGGTCAGCATACAGAGATGAAACAGACACATCACTCCCTCACCCTAACTCTTCTATGGCTCCCTATTGCTTAGGGAACAAAGCCTAACTCCTGGGCCCACCATTCAAGGCCCTCAGTGATCTGGCCCCATCTTCCTCCCCAGCCTTGAGCGGGGCCCTCCATCCACACTGAACGGCATATTCTTGACTTCCCACCTACCCTAATGTCCTTGTGTTGATATTCTATGCCTTTGCTGCTGCCTGCGGTGCCCTTCCCAACAACCTTGGCCAACAAACTCCTGTTCCGATGTTCTCCAGGAAGCCCTCCCCGATTGCCTCTCTCCAGCCCCACAGCTCCCAGGCGTCGTCCATGACTGTTGGGGTCACAGCCTGTCCTCCCAAACATCTTGAAGGGCAGAGCCATATCAAATCCCTCTCAGGGTCATTCCTGGGGTTGGGCTCAGGCTCCCAGTGGGGGACATCTGTGCAGTTTTGCTGGGGCCTTGCAAATTTCCTGTCAGTCCATGCAGAGCTGAGGGCCCAGAGGCACCAGCTCTGGACCCCCAATCCCCAAGGAGCCCCCAGCTACCCCGACACCTTCTAACCCAGAGGGTTAGGTCAGACCAGGCCAGATCAACTACAGCCAGCCCTGTAGTACGCAGGCTGCCCAAACACTTATACGCCTTCCCAGAGGACCCCGGCCTAGAAACATGACCAGGAAGCAGCCTTGGCCTGGACTCGCCTCACATCATGTCACGCAGGGCCAAGACTGGAAGAACTCTCAGATATTCCTGGCATCGTCGTCCCTGAGAAAGTGGGCATGGGGACACCGAGGTTAGGGGTTGATTTTTCCTCTTGCACAGTCAAGGAAGAACCCTCATCCGTCAGCTTGGGCGATCAGGGGTGCTGTACCTCGCTAAGCCAGCCTCTTAATGCAGCAGCTGTAAACCAATCAGGATCCAGCTGGCCAGAAATAACAGCAGCAGCCTAGAGAAAAGAGGCTAAGAGGCTGGGTGTGGCCTAATGAGAAAGGCTAATTGATCTTCAGGCCCGATTCCAGGTGACCTGCTGCTGCTCTCACCGCTGAGCCTTGAGGACCCCGGCCTCCACCCACTTCCTACCTCCTCTGAGCTGAGAAGAACTGGTCCGAATGCCCAGGGCAGGGCTGGGGAGCCCAAAGATCCCCTTCCCCTGCCTCCTGGCCTCCGCGCCCTGGTCAGAGCTGTGCCTGTTGCCTCTTCTGCAAAAAGGAGATGGATGGTACCTACCTTCTAGTGTGGTGGTGACAATAAATAAGCCCGTACGGCACCTGGCATTCAGCACACTTATTACAACACACCTCCACTTTCTACATGGGGACGCAGGCTCAGCAAGTAGACAGCCGTACTGGGATTTGAACCCAGGCTTTGGCTGGCCTGAGGCCTGAGCTCAGGACAGGAAGGAGGCTGGCTGGGGGAGCTGAACAGGTACCCTCCTCGCCTCTCTGCAACACCTACAGACCAGAGCCCTTCCAGCGCCCCCCTCTGCCTGGGCCTGATTCCAGAGAGACCCTGCGTTTTGTCCCATCCTAAACTCACATGCCAGTGCCCAGTGCCCTTGCAGCCTCAGGCTGCCCCCCTCCTTGGAGTAGGAACCCAGAGCCAAGCCGGAGCCGGAGCCGGAGCCGGAGCCAGAGCTGGAACTCAGAGCTGGAACTCGAATTCTCGGAAAGGAACAGGGAGGGGCTGGCTCCAGTGGAAGGCTGCCCTGGGGACAGTAATCAAATCCTAGGAGCCCCGAGGTTGGTTTCTGGTGGTGTCCTTACAGACCTGCTTTTGTCTGAGAGCTGGGGAAGAACATGAAGACCCATTCCTTTACTGGGAGGCAGCTGAGTGGCCCCTGCTGGGCTGAGGCAGGCGTGCTGTCAATTAAGTAATGAACCCTCCCGCTGGCCAAACTTTCCCAGCAGCTCTGGGTGGGGGGATAATACTTCTTGCTGCTATATCAATGTTCAACTTCCTGTTTAAATATTAAATTGGAACGTCCTCCATGTGAGTGCCCACGGAGACCCAGGATGAGTGAGTAACTTAGGGCTGCGTTCCTGGAAGTCAGGTTTCACGCTTCGCTTGTTCCTAAATCTCTGCTTGTCCTAACATGGGCCAGCCAGTGCAAGGCACGCTGGGAATTCCACTCTGAAGTTGGGGGTCCGGACTGGATGTGGCTTCGGGACCTGACAATTGGCGTGGACTCAGGTGTGATCTGGGCTACTTGAGGGGTGGGGGGAAACATCTACTCCCTGGGCAGGGGACAGCAGCAGGAAGGAACGAAGGCGGTGGGTGAGACTGCACCAGGTTGGGAGGAGGGCGGGGGCACTCCCAAACAGGAAGACATTCTTCACAGGCATTGTCCACCCCACAAACATCAGAACCCAGCCCCAGTCTTACAAGGAGAGAAAGAAGAGAGGAGGCCTCTGGCTGCTAGAAACAACTCAGGTGGCTGCAACCACGAGGGCATTATTATCCCACATGATATATTGGCTAAGGCACTGGGGAAGCTGCAGTAATGAAAAGACTCCAAAACAGAGCCACTTAAATAAGGTAGAAGATTGTTTCTCTCTCACATCACAGCCCCACGGTGAGTGCTCCAAAGTCCCATGGGGCCACTCTGCCATCCCTGAGATGGGACTTCCAAAGGGCTCCAGCTGTCGCTATTTTCCAGCTGGTAGGAAGGTGAGGGGGGGGGGGAGGTCGGGTAAGAATGCCCAAGGCAAATGTCTTTAAGGAGATAATCCAGAAGTTGCATGCCTTACCTCTGCTCATATCCCATTGGCCTGGATTTAGTCACACGGCCACACTCAGCTGCCAAGAATGCTGGGAAGTGTGGTCTGCACCTGGAGGGGGTGTGGTGCCAATGTCCAGGTAAAACTCAGTATGTTCTATTACTAAATGGATGACAGGAAGAATGGACACTAGGGGATAGTTAAGTATCTGCCACACGTAATAACCAGGAATCTGGTGAAAGGGTATTTCCAGGGTTAGTGAATTTAGCAGTTCATCAATATCTTCATATCTTCAAGGACCCATTGTGTTGACTTGGGTCTAGAGCTTGTTCTCTCATGTTCTCAAGGTGGCTGCCACTGCTCCAAGCATCACACCCTAATACACTAGTGCAAAAAGACCAAAAACAGAATGTCCCTCTCTTGTGTCTAGGAAAACTTTCTCAGAAGCCCCCTTCTCCAACTGACTTCCCCTAATTCTCATTGGCCAATAATATCACATGCCCATTCCTACTCCAGTTACTGGCAAAGGGAGTAGAATGAACACGACTGGTTTAAACCAGTTGAGATTCACCCCCAGGGGCTGGGAAGGGCCACACTTCCACTATAGCACAAGGTCACCTGAGGGCTAAAGAAAGTCAGGGCTCCTTTAGCAAGAAAGACGAGGGGTGGGGACCCTTTATGGTAACTGGCACTTCCTGCTCACCTGCTCTGCCTTAAGCCCAGCTGTAGACTCTTTCCTGCATGTGATTTCATTCATCTCACCCTCGTGAAGAGGACACCATATATGAGGACATTGAGGCTCAGAAAGGTTAGGGGACTTGCCTAAGGCCACACAGCCAGTACCTGGCAGAGCTGCCATTCCAGCCCAGGTGTGTCTAACTGTAAAGCAGTCTCCCTCCCACTGCAGGATACCTTAGCAAAAGTCCTGTGAGCAACCCTTCTTAGTCCTAAGACCAACAGAATTAAACCTGAGAAATATTTCATGAGGGTATAACTGGCAGAGTATTTTTTGTAGAAACACAAGTTTTATCCTACATGGAAACCGAATGCACATGTCACAGGACCCTAAGGCTCTTTGCAAAATTGTCCTTTTATATCGGCTTTCCTAAATGAGCGCACAGTTTTATTGTTTCGGCCCCTTGCTTATCCCAGGACTGGTTGGTGCTGACACCATTTGTTGTGAGGATATCAGTTGGATTTATTCGCAAATAGCGACCACACAAAAAGAGTGGCTTAAACAAGGCAGCAGTTAATTTCTCACTTGTGTAGGAGCCTAGAGGTGGGCAGCCCAGGGCTGGTGTGGCAGCTCCACAGTATCGGGGACCAGGGTTCCCACGAGCTGGTGGCTCCACCACCCTCAGCACATGGCTTCCTCCTCATGGTGGCTCCTTAAATGCCAGCATCACATGTGCGTTCTAGCCAGAAGGAAGAAGGAAGTATCGATGTAGGGCACTCTGCCCATTGGAGAGAGTTCCCAAAAGTGGCATGTGGTATTTGTACTTCTTGTCATTGGCAAGAATTTAGTCCTAGGACAATTCAGCCTCAGAGGAGGAGTTAAACTGCGAAGCAGTCCCCTTACAGGCCCGAGATGGCTCTGGAGCGGACGTGGCGCTGTGGAGTTGTCCTGCTTTGCTCGAGAGGCCGTGCCTTATGGC